CCATATGATTTTAAAGCACAGGAGGACAAAGAGGCTGCAAAGTTTGTCCTTATTCGAACACATTAGAACAGATTTATAACGTATCATCACAACGTTTCTTACCATAAGGAGCAGACGGGGTGAATGTGTGCACTAATGATTTTGGCGATTCCACGAGTGAGGAAGTCCCAGATTACGATGCGGCCATCGTTGCAGCCGACCGCCAGCAGCGTGCCCCAGCGGTTAAAGGTGCAGGTGAGGGCCATGCTGATGCAGTCCAGGGTGCCATCTGCCTCCTGAAAAAACAAAGTCAGAGTTATCACATCAGATGGAACATAAAGAAAGCTCTAAAAGAAGTTTATTAATAATTCCTCATCAAATCCATGCTGCTTTAAAACATGGTGTCTTACCTCTGGATAGTTCTGCCCAAACGATTCTACAAAAAAAATAACACACAGAATAGAATTTTAATCAAACCAGTTAAATGTATAAAGGATTAATATTAGAGATGGACAGATGCATCGACCGATTCATCAGCGCATGCACTGACTTTCTCTCTATTTGCTATCACTGTTAGTGTTTAGTATGATTCATAAATAAATGTTTCTTTACGTTTAAATCGAGAATTGTGTCACATTCAGTGTCCTTCTGTCATTTTCATCATGTAAATGAAGAAAAAGAAAGGCAATCAGCCTGAAAAATTATATAATAAAATATATATATCGGTGGAAAGGTTGTACCGTTTGTGCACTGATGTCTCTCTAAATGTTAACTAAGAAAGGGCAATCAATATCAGGGTTTATACAGGAATGAGTAACTCTAATTTAATGCACTTTTAATGCTCTTAGAAATAATGTTAATGCCATCAACAGGTACCCATGACCTTCATATAAACACGGCAAAAACCTTTGTCATCTTTACCATTGACAGGCTGCAGCCATGTCCCAAATTTCTTGTTTTCCAGCCACTTTTGCTGATGATTGCATTTTCCCCATTTTCTAGCTTTTTTCCACCTCAAGCTTTTTTCCAAAAATACAAATTTACAATCTACCGAAAGCAGTTCCGCACAAACATATCAATAATATATATTTATACGTAATATATCTGACGAAAATTTTTTATTAACTTCTTTTTTTAGTAAAGCATTTTAAATGCCACGATAATCACATTTAATGAATTTTGATGCCAATTCAGGCTTAATTTAAAAAATAATAATGTCTTTTAATGTTTTCAAAGACCTGCAGGAACCCTGAAGAAGAAGGAACTTCAGATCCACTTTAAATAAATTATAAGAACAACTGGCTGGTTGAATAGAAAACAAAGAAATAACACATACCTGACCATTTTTGAGTTATATCTCATTACACAACAATACTTGCATCATTACATTGATCAAGTATCCAATTTCTATCACCCACAATAAGTTAATAACTAAAAAAGTATTTCAGCATCTGAGAAACATTGCTTGAACTCAAGGTGATGTCAAAACAAGACCATTAAACCAGGGCAAGCTTTCAGTCAACCATGATTAAGGTTTCTTTATGTTGAAAGAACCATGACCATTGTTTTTCCCTACAGAAGCACTTTGGATGGTACCTAAGAACGGTGGCATATTAAAAACAAACAAACAAAAAAGGCTTCCATTGATTTACCCCAGAGTGAATAATGTTGTTTATTACTTTAAATTAGATTCACGGTTTTCACGAATAAGAAAATGCGCCCTGGGCGATAAAAATGTTTAACTATAAAAATGTCGACTATTTAACATGCTTTAAATTGGAGGCATATTAACTTTTTATAAGATAGGTATTAGTTAATGTAGAACACCGAACGATGCTATATGGATACGGATGCTAAATTCGGCTAACTGACAGTTCTCTACTTTCAAAAAAAGAAGAATGATATAATTCATAAATATCAAAGACTATGTTGCTAATTTACCCGTTTAAATTGAATAGCTTAAGTTGAATCGACAATTCTGTTTATATTTTAAATATGATTAGTAGCTTAGCTGTTAGCATCCTCGGCTAACAGAATAAGCTAACCACAACAAGAGCGGAGCGCTGCAGGAAAGTGAGCATTAATCACACAACAAAAGCATCTTCTCATAATTACCGAGCAGCTCTAGATTCATGGCTGGGTGTCCAATGACCCAAACTCCCACAAATCCGAGTTCGTGAAATATTTCAATCTAAAATTATCGTTTTATGTTGACGTTTAATAGAAATGTCCAGAGAGCGGCGCCACGGCGGACCCCAAACATAGCCGCCAAAGATGTGCCTGAACTAAATGTATGTCAAAGTGCCACAGTCTCACTAAATGTTATACTAAACAGAATTTTAATGGCTCATATAAAATAAATAACTAAAAGAACCAATATACAAATACATGTTATACAGTGAATGACAGCAATAAATGTGTTTATAGAATTTTTAATGTGAGAAATATACTATTTGACAGTGGCGGATTTAGGGATGACGCTAAACTGAAATGTGGTGGCCACGCCCACTACCTGTTGATTGACATGTTGTAAACCCTGGGCTGTGTTAGAATTTATGGGCACAACAATCAGTATTAAATAGAATCATTAATGAGAGAAACAGAAGGGAAGAAGTAATAATGATCAGATTAAGAGTGGGTCATACCTATTTAAATGACAATTTATATTTAATAGGGAGGAAAATAATGATAAATGTGAAGAAATGTGGAGAAAAAGAAAATGTAGAACATGTACTGATGAACTGTAAACCTTATGAACATAAGAGGGAGAAATTGAGAAGAATGGTTGGAAGGAGAGGCAAACATGAATATTGGGAAATTAATTAAATATAAAGGATATTTACAGATTAAGGAAAGCATTATTTATTTATATTCAGAATAAAAAATTTAAAAAAGAATTTGATGTAATGTTGCTACACACACATTTACAGTGGGTGGCGGTATGCACCTTAAAGTTGCTTGCGATCCGTCTATGGAGTGATTTTTGTGCCAAAACGTTGTGTACAAAAATGCACGTTGCACACACATAAAGCATGTTGCAAAAGCATGTTTCACAAAAACAAATCGTATCACTCACAAATAAACATGTTGCAAAACTTGTGTTACAAACTCTCCTCAAATGTCACACACAAATAAAACTTTTTTTTCAAACTGTCTTTAAATGTTGCGCGCACACAAAAATTTGTTTTACAAACCGGACTCTAACATTGCACTTAAAATATAATTAGTAATTTGTCCCCTGAGTACAAAACGATCTCTGCTCGCGTACAAAACAAATCTTCCCATTCCGCAGTAAGTTTCTGCCCAAAATCACGTGATGCATGGAGAATTGTCATTATGACTAACCGACAGCAGGGGGCGCCATACAATCAAAACAACTGAAACGTGCCGGTGTTATGTCGAGCTACGTTTCCCCATCAGATATGGTTTCCCCTGCATCTCCGCATGGATGGATGGATGGATGGATGGATGGATGGATGGATGGATGGATGGATAGATAGATAGATAGATAGATAGATAGATAGATAGATAGATAGATAGATAGATAGATAGATAGATAGATAGATAGATAGATA